TTCCTGCCCAGGCTGGTTTTGAACCATGATCTTCAGATCTCAGCTTCCTGTGTAGGTAGGATTATGGGCACCAGAACCCCCACTTAATTATTTTCGTAATGGATTATTCCTTCTAACAAAGATTAGAGGAGTCTGACAGAATTGGCACCATTTATGCTATCCCTGTCTAAAGATGGGGAAGACACAGAGTTTTTGCAAGGGATTATAAATCACAAGCCACATCACACAGAACCTTGATTGAAGAACAAGTTATCTCATTTGTAGATATAGATAGATAGATAGATAGATAGATAGATAGATAGATAGATAGATAGATAGATAGATAGATAGATAGATGTATACATACAAACCTCTTTCAATATACAGATTTGAGGGTATTTTTAACTATGACTACAAATAAAATCCTACTTTTGTTTGTCATTAGCTACAATTATGTGGAACCTCATAAGGCTTGCTTGTCATGAACTCTGGTTCACAGACTCTTGTGGGCACACGTCTAGAAACCCCATGGAGATGGGGTCCTCCACAGGCCTAGCCTGACCCCACCGGGGCCATTCTGTGGTCATCTCCTGTCTCCTCTGGTTGAGCAGAAGAGCTGTGGTGGCTGAGAAGATCACACCCGAAGGCCAGGACGAAGTGTGAGGGGGTCGGGAACGTCATCCTGGACCTCACAGGGAGCTGGAGTCTCCCTGTGAGGAGCTGGGGCTCTGTCCTTGCACCTTGTATCCATATTGGGGGTTCAGAGCCCAGAACTGAGGGAGCCTGGGGAAGGGCGGGGCATGGCCAGGCTGCTCTGGAGCCTGAAAAGGAGCCGCAGGCTTTGGACGCTGTGGGCTCACAGCAGAGCAGGGAAGTTGGCCCGCAAGCCGTTCCCAGTTCCACGCAGACCCTTCGAAAAGAGGTGGTGTGCCACCTTCCAGGTTTACATACAGGGCCCGCATCCTCTGCGGCCAGACACCTTCTGCCTGGGACGTGAGACTCAACGGTGGAGGTGAGAAAGACAAGAAGGAGGAAGATGATGGCTGGGAGGGGGAAGAAGAGTAGATGAAGAAGGGAGTGGGGAGCATTGATGGATGGAACACCTTTTTGTGTCGGTCGTGGGGCCTGAACTCTGGGCCTGGGCGCTGTCCCTCAGCTCTTCAGCTCAAGGCTAGCGCTCTACCACTTGAGCCACAGCACCACTTCCGGCTTTTTCTGCTTATGTGGTGCTGAGGAATCGAACCCAGGGCCTTATGCCTGCAAGGCAAGCGCTCTACCACTGAGCCACCTTCCCAGCCCCTCCATTTTATAATGTATCTGGGAAAACTGAAGAAGACTTCTTCCAGGACCAAGAGGGTTGGTGGCCACGATGTAAGGAACTGGGACAGTGTGGGCTGTGTGCAGGACCAGGAGAAAGGCCATCAGGTCTGTCTCTTAGGAGCACTGAGAACTAGCCTGAGAACTCCCATCTGTGCTCGCGACCCGCTGGGAGAACAGGATGAGGTCAGTGATAAAGAGCTGTTGTCTGACCGACACCCACCTTCTCCCCCATCCAGCCCCTCCACAGCAGTGCACCTACTCCAAGCCAAAAGGCCTTTCCACATCGCAGCTGCCCTCCTAACTTGCAGGTGGCCAGCGGAGGCCAGGTAATTGGCCAGATGTACCCCACTTCTTATGGTGGCAGCTAGAGGAAGGAGTGAGGCATCTGCTCAAAAGTCCAGGAAGCCCCAAAACTGTTCATGAGGTAGACAGAGGCCTCCTCTGTGGTGTGCCAAGAATCCAAAACCATGCCAGGGACAGTGGCTCACGCCTGTAATCCTAGCTACTCAGGAGGCTGAGATCTGAGAATCACAGTTCAAAGTCAGCCTGGGCTAGGAAAGTCTGTGAGATTCTTATCTCCAGTAAACCACCAGAAAACCGGAAGTGGCACTGTGGCTCAAGTGGTAGAGTGCTCGCCTTGAGCTGAATAGCTGAGGGGCAGCGCCCAGGCCCAGAGTTCAAGCCCCATGACCACCACCAACAACAAAAGAATCCAGTAACCACAAAAAGCAGTGTGGTGCCCTTATAGGAAGTGGAGTGGAAGCAAGGAGAAAAAGAAGAAGAGAGTCCTATGGTTGGAGGTCCCAAAGGCTGCCTCCACCTGAGAGGAAATTAAGGAATTCCAGAATTTCTTCACCTACTTTTACAATCTTAACTCTGAATTCATGATATGTTAAACTTTGGATTTTAAGGAATATCAGCTTACCCCTGTTGCTATTCGTTGATATTAACCTACCGATGAAAAAAGAAAGAAGAGAGAAACAGGACCTTCAAACCTGAGACTGTGCTGAGACTGGCTATTAGCCAAATCTCAGGAGGCTGAGATTTGAGGATCACCATCCAATGGGGCAATAAAGTCTGTGAGACTCTTCTCTCCAATTCACCATCAAAAAAAAAAAAAAAAGCTGGAAGAGGAGCTGTGGTTCAAGTGGTAGGGTGCTAACCATGAGCACAAAAGCTCAGGGACAATGCCCTAACATGAGTCCAAGTCCCCAAACTGGTACTCATACACAAAGAGATTGGATGTGCTGTTTCCACCAGCTTCTCACTGTTTTCACAGACCTGAGACGACAAGGTCTGTATGTAACCCAGGCTGGCCTCAACTTCACAGCTGCCTCATGCCCCCAAGTGCTGGCACTGCAGATGCCCACCGTGAAGCCTGGCTTACACATAAAAGTTTTGATGAAGGCTGGGAAGGTGGCTCCGTGGTAGAGCGCTTGCCTTGCATGCATGAGGCCCTGGGTTCGATTCCTCAGCACCACATAAGCAAAAAGAAAAAAGCTGGAAGTGGTGCTGTGGCTCAAGTGGTAGAGCACTAGCCTTGAGCTGAAGAGCTGAGGGATAGTGCCCAGGCCAGAGTTCAAGCCCCATGACCAACAACAACAACAAAAAAGTTTTGATGATGCATCGAACTGATTTGGAGGAAATCTTATAGGAGTCCATATTTATGATGTTACAGAATGATGTTTTAGATCTGGGATTGGGGCGGGGGGGGTGGAGGGGAGAGATACAGAGAACTGGTGTTCAAGATATGGTATATGCTGGGCATTGTGGCTCACGCCTGTAATCTTACTCAAGAGGCTGAGATCTGAGGATTGCAGTTCAAAGTGAGCCCAGGCAATAGTCTGTAAGACTCTTAGCTCTCCCCAAAAGCTGCAAATGACACAGTGGCTCAAAGTAGTAGAGTGCTAGCCTTGAGCACAAAAACTCAGGGACAGAGCCTAGAACCTGAGTTCAACCTCCAGAACCAGCACACAATCTGTGTTGTGTATGTGTATATACATATACATATACATATATATAGATAGGCAGATAGACAGACAGATAGATAGATAGATAGATAGATAGATAGATAGATAGATAGATAGATAGATGTAAAGGAACAGTAAGCTTTCTGTACAACACCTTAATAACAAAGTATTTTAAAAATCATATAGACAGGGCTGGGAAGTTGGCTCAGTGGTAGAGCGCTTGCCTTGCATGCCTGAGGCCCTGGGTTCGATTCCTCAGTACCACATAAGCAAAAAAGAAAAAAGCCGGAAGTGGTGCTGTGGCTCAAGTGGTAGAGCGCTAGCCTTGAACTGAAGAGCTGAGGGACAGCGCCCAGGCCCAGAGTTCAGGCCCCATGACCGGACCCAAAAACAAAACAAAACAAAAAAATCATATAGACATATAGATACTATATAGACCTTTTTGAAGGGTATAATGGGGCATCCCTGTAATCCTAGCACTCAGGAAACTGACCTAGGGGGATGCAGTGCCAGTTTGGGCTTCATCACAAAACCTTGTCGTAAAAAGAAAGAAAAGAAATTTTTTTAATTGTCTGAGCCTTGTGAAATCTTTGTCTATGCTTCCATGAGTCACTTATGGTAAGAGAGCATAAAGGGTGCTTTCAGCCCAACAATTCTGGCTGTAGGAGGAATTACTCCTAGAGTCCCTTAAATGAAAGCATGCAAATGACCCACCCTTTCTCTTTTTTTTTCCTTGTCAGACATGGGGCATGAACTCTGGGCCTGGGCACTGTTCCTCAGCTCTTCAGCTCAAAGCTAGCACTCTACCACTTGAGCCACAGTGCCACTTCCAGGTTTTTCTGCTTATGTAGTGCTAAGGAATTGAACCCAGGGCCTCATGCATGCAAGGCAAGCACTCTACCACTGAGCCACCTTCCCAGCCCATGACCCACCCCCACCCCCACTTTCTGAAGGCAGTATCTGTTCTTACAATACATAAACCTTCCCCCTCAGGGATCCACGGGTGGGAAGGGGGCAAGTGGGAGAGGGGGGAGTCTTCCCCAGTAACAATTCCTCCCCCCACTAGTGTCTAAGGGGGCAATTCATGTTCCAAGACCTTTTCTTGAGGGTAGGGGTGGAGTCAAGATGTGGCCACAAACCAGGGCTATCTCTTAGTTCTCACACTCAAAACAGGAAGGCCAGCAAGTCACACCCACTCCTGCACATGACTGGTCTGGATGAAGCAATCTCCGTGGCTACTGCGTGGGGGGCAGAGGAAGGGAGAAGCCGGAGGTCCCTCCACTGGGAACTGCACAGTGGCTCCCCTAGCTTGGCGGATAGATGGAGGGGCAGGCAAACACAAGACCTAAAGCCTAATTAGACCCCACTGCTCCAGGCTACTTTAAATCACTGTCATATGAGCCATTCAGAAGCTCCCAAGTCCTATGGCCTGGCATTAATTTCCTACTTTTTACCATTTCCCTTTCCAATTAAGGTGCAAGTCTCTGGACAACTGAAACCTGACTAAATACTCCTGTGTTTTCCACTCTTCTACCATTAGAACAGGGACAGTGTGGCCATCAACACTGGAAGTCAATTAAAATCCTCTGGCTTGATCGAGACCCCTTAGAAGATTTATATGAATATACACAGAAAATAGTGGTGGTAATAGTTCACTGCCACATTATCAACTTTCATATATGTACATATACAAAATACCCATCTGGCAAAAACAACAACAAAAAAAAAAAAAACCTTGGCAACAAATAACTTTAATACTGAAGACAGATGCTGAGGTAATTTATACAATGTGACTAGCTTACATTGACATTCTTACTGTAATCCAAGTGGTTATGTAGGAAGCCCTCCTAACAGAAATGTAGCTAATACACATGTCAAACTAAACAAAAAATATTTTAATTATAAATAGATAAAATAAATAATACGCCTGGTAAAACTCAATCATGACATTATTCCATGATATTACCTCCCTGGGGTAATTTATTTTTAATTGATAAATTGCATATATTTTATGGGTCACAGTGGTTCTATACATGGCTGTACTGTGGGATGCCCAAATCACAATAATCAGTATATTCATCACCTCATGTTTACTATCTCCTTGCAATGAGAACACTACCACCCCTTTTAGTTGTTTTGAAATATACATTAACAAGTTACTTTGCTGTCCAGTGTCAGACCTTTCTGATGTACCTCTTAACCAATGAGTTTCCTCTTACCCACCCATCTGTCCATCCACTCTGGAAATCACATCCCTACTGTATTTCTGTTTGATTTTTGTAGATTACCATATGAGAACATATGGTATTTTGTCTGTTCCTGACATATTTCTCCTAATAAAATGTTCTCTATGTCCATCATGTTATGACACCTTTTTAATGCTAATATTTCAGTTAATCTATCATTTTGCAAATCCATTCACCCATGGAGACAGAGTGCTTCCATATCTTGGCTATTGTAAATAATGCAACAAACACAGGCATACAGAAGATAGGCCCTCAGCAAACTCTCAAATCCTTTTAAGTATTTAGATACCCAATGGTGGGATTGCTGGATCAAAGACTGTTCTTAATTTTTAAAGAAAAATCCAGTTTTCCAAAGTGGCTACACTAGTAAGGGTGTTTTCTCTACATCCTTCTTTCATCTTTTTTTTTTTTTGAGACAGGGGGTAACCATGTATTGCAAGCTGACCTAAACCTCACAATCCACAAGCCTCATGACCACTGTGATACAGGCATTGTCTTTTTGGTAATAGCCAATGTAGCATGTGCAAGATGACAACTCATGATTTGTACTCACGTTTCTCTGCCATGTATCTGCTAGACACCAACATGCTTTGTTATTGATTACTTTTGAGTTTCATTCTTAGATACCCCAGAATAAAAATGAAACTCATTCAGTTTAAAAATATACAGACTAATATAAATTATTCACAGATATATATATGCATATGCTTTTTCATTATTCAGAAATATCTGCTCACTCTTAAAAATATCTCAATCTTGAAAATATTCTAATTTCTTTTAAAAGGTCACTTGTAGAATGATACCAACTAGTGGGAGAGAGGGTATCTTACACGTTTTTAGGAACCTATATGTGTTTTACTAAGTTTTAATTTTATCAGTTAAAGTCAAATTCCTCTCTTCCCATTCCCCTTGTTTATACGAAAGACCAAAGTTTTTTTTAATCACTTAATATTCAATCTACAAGCATTTTACAGGCACCAAGAAACCCTACCATACTTCCATTTTTTTTTCTAGCTTTTTACATTTTCCATTTGAGGCCAAAGAAACATACTTAACAGTCCTCAGAAAAGAAATCTAACAGTTCAAGTAAAAAAAAAATTATGTTACATTTTGTAGTGACCTATGAAAAATGAATGTTCACTATGACATTCAGTGTTGTCAAAATGAAATTCTTTTCCTCTTCTAAGGGTTGTATGTTGACCGTGTTGTGGAGTTGTCATCAAATAAGTAAAAGACACGGAACCATTTCCCTCCTGCCCGCTGCAAGTATGTGTCACACCCTCACACTAGATAGCCACCTTCAGCAAAAATGATAAAAAAACAAGTCCCTACAAAGACATGGGCTCATAATTGCTTCCCTATTTTCAAGGCTATTCCATGCTTACTTAAAATAAAGTGGTTTTGCAAGATTCTCACATCTCTGGAGTGATTCTGGGAACCTCCTTGCAGAAATTGCTGTCTGCTTCATTCCGTCTTCCCTCAACCTAGCAGCAAGGAAATTTCCTTCACACTCCCGTCAATGACCAGGCAATTTCATCTTCTGTTGAAATTTGCACCCACTGGGAAACTTCCTCTTTGAAGGAGTCCCCTCACACCAACGTTTAAAAGCAGTCATGTTATTAAGCTGAAGAGTTTAGAAATCAAATTCAGAAGTTTCTGCCGGAAATTCAATTTATCTCCAATTCTCCTGAGTTGAATGCACTCAGCTTCCAGTTCTGAAAAGCAAAGCAGAATAGAAGTTAAGTTAAGTCACCCCAAGATTTCTTAAACTTTAGCTTCATGTCTACCTCTTTTCCCAATGTAAGAAGTGCTACTTAGAATAATCACACACACACACAGTCGGGTGCTGGCGACCCACGCCTGTAATCCTAGCTATCCAGGAGGCTGAGATTTTCAATCTGGTTCAGAAATTCAGCCTGGGCAGAAAAGTAACCATGAGACTCCTATCTCCAATTAACCACCAGAAAAACTGGAAGTCAAGCTGTGGCTCAAAGTGGGAGAGTGCTAGCCTTGAGCGGAAAAAGCTCTGCACATTGCTCGGACCCTGAGTTCAAGCCCCAGGACTGACAAAGAAAGAAAGAAAAAAAGAATCACATACATCCTAAATTCAGATAAGAATGCAGAAATTATTAACCAACAAAAAAGCCAGACGTAGAGGTAGTTTCAGCCTACTACTTTTCACTCAGCCTTGATTAAGAAAGCTTAGAAAATTACCCAGATCCTGAGTTCAAAGACTAATACAGGCACAAATAAATGAATTTTTTAAAAAGGAACGCAGAAATTTACTTTGAAATCTTTTTTTTTCTTTTTTCTTTTTTTTTTTTGTGGTGGTGTCCTGGGGCCTGGGCCCTAGGAGCTTTTGGGCTCAAGGTTAGCGCTCTACCACTTGAGCCACAACTCTACTTGTGGCTTTTTTGGAGTACTTAATTGAATGTAAGTCTCCAAGATATTCCTGCCCAGGATAGCTTTGAACCGTGATTCTCAAATCTCTGCCTACTGAGTAGCAAAGCTTAGAATGAGCCAGGGATGCCCAGATATTTTGACTTTTTTTAAACAGCCTGGTTGAGGCGAGTAACATCTTTCAAATATAGAACTTTCGGGCTGGGAAGGTGGCTCAGTGGTAGAGCGCTTGCCTTGCATGCCTGAGGCTCTGGGTTCGATTCCTCAGCACCACATAAGCAAAAAGAAAAAAGCCGGAAGTGGTGCTGTGGCTCAAGTGGTAGAGTGCTAGCCTTGAGCTGAAGAGCTGAGGGACAGAGCCCAGGCCCAGAGTTCAGGCCCCACAACCGGACCCCCCCAAAAAAAATCAAATATAGAAATTTCATGTATAATACTATATATAGTATATCAGATCAGTCATTACCAAACTCAGAGTGACCACATCTTTTTTTTAAGCCTCATTTTCAGTTGGGCAGTAAAAGAAGGGAAATTCTAACACATGTATTATTTCAAGTAGATTTGGTTTTCAAATGGCAACATTTCATAGATTATATCCTCCCTCTAGTAGGCAAAACCTACACATTATTTTTCTCATTTAGAAAACTGATACTTTCTCATAGAAAACGCATAAAATCTTATCACAAAATTAAGTCTGCTCTCTAAAGATTTTAGTGCCAGTACTGGAGCTTGAACTCAGGGCCTGGGCAAATGTCCTTTAGCTTTTGCACTCAAAGCTAGTGCTCTACCAACTGAACCATTGCTCCACTTCTAGTTTTTTGGTGGTTAATTGGAGATAAAGTCTCACTGACATTCCTGTCTGGCCGGGCTTTAAATCTTCATCCTCAGCTCTCAGCCTCCTGAATAACTAGGGTTACAGGCATGCCTGTGTGTTTTCCATGTTACTGGCAACAGTCTGTGTGTGTGCTGGGGGTTGAACTCAGGGACTGGGTGCTGTCCCCAAGATCTCTTATTTTTCCCCTAAAAGCTAGCACTCTACCAATTAAGCCACAGCTCCATTTCTGTGTGTGTGTGTGTGTGTGTGTGTGTGTGTGTGTGTGTGTGTTTCATTGGAAATAAAAGTCTCATTGACTTTTCTTGCCCTGGCTGGCTTTGAACCAAGATCTTCCAAGATCCTCAGATCTCAGCCTCTTCAGTAGTAGCTAGGATTACAGGTGTAAGATACCTGCACACAGCTAAAATTAGGTTTGCCTTTTCATCCAAATCAACTTCTTCCTACAAACTTAATCTATAAATCCATTATGTTTACAAAGGATAACCACTTTACCACTTTTTTTACAATTGTGGTAGTTAGCTTGATATTAAGGAAAAATAATGTGCTTATATCATTCAAGCAAATTTTTTAGCAAATAAAGGAGAGACAATTATAACAAATCAAAGCACTAAATCTCTACTGTTCATAATTTCCACTTTGTTGACTATTGTAAAGAGTACTCAGGCCCACTTTAAGACAATGTAAAGCCGGGCGCCCATGGCTCACGCCTGTAATGCTAGCTACTCAGGAGGCTGAGATCTGAGGATGGCAGTTCAAAGCCAGACCAGGCAAGAAAAGTTGTGAAACTCTTATCTCCAATAAACCACCAGAAAACCTGAAGTGGCGCTGTGGCTCAAGTAGTAGAACGCTAGTCTTGAGTGAAGAGTGGAGGCACAGTGCTCAGGCCCAGAGTTCAAGTCCCATGACTGACAAAAAAAAAAAAAAATGAACACTTAAAATCAGCCTAAAAATTTGAATATGGTGTTTTCATTTTAAATAAACTCTGGAAAGACCCTGTTATGGCTGAAAATAAATGAAAGATTTAAGTGAGATAAATTTGCAAACCTACATTGCAAACAAAAGGTGAATGAACTCTCTTAACCCCTACACCAAGAAACCTTACTGCATCTCAAGATATCGTTTACACAAGTATTTACAAAGACATTTATAGTAGCAAGTTGTCCTTTTGGAAAAAAAAAAAAAACATCTAGCAGACAATTTTGCAAGTTCTGAATTATAAGGAAACAGTCTTTGGCAAAAAAGAACAAAAACACCCACTTTTATAATAACAATACTTTTTTAAGGCAGAGAATAGCAACCTGATGCTTCTTTCATTTTTCTGTATTTGCATACTTACGCATACCTGTATATCTTTTGAGGGCAACTCCGTGTTGTCTCATTCTGGAGAAATACAAGTCATCCAGAACACAGGGCCCTGAGTTCAAACCCTGGTACTGGCACCCAAAAAAGTGAAGGGAAGAGGGGAGTAGAATCCTACAAACTCAATGGCTTGTAAGGGAGGGGGGGGGGCTTCTGGTCCAACAACCCCACAGCAGGTGACTTCTGCCTTTAGTAAGACTTATGAAAAGGAGTTTGGGAGAGGGGATGGGATTGGCTGGCCTGATGCCCAGTGGAAGCTGGGACCGTGGACCAAGTCCCACCCCGACTCCCCCCTTTTCTCTCCCCCCCTCCCGTTTTACAGCCCACTGTTCAAATGTTAACTAAGGAAGATCTCTGGGGTTCCAGAACTCATCTCCAAGAGTGGGGGAAGGGGTGGGAGGGGGGATCCAGGAGCCCTCCAAGAGTCAGTGACACAGGGGGAGAGAGCTGTGACAGTAATCACGCTTACACACTGCTTGTGTTGGAAGTAGAGACAATTACAACTGAAATCAGGACAATCAGAGGTGGAGGAAGGGATGGGGGGGGGGGCTGACGGGACAATCTCCCAGCCCCCACCTGCCCCCAAACCTCTACGGTGGGCAAGGAAGGACTTTCCCTTCCCACCTGCAACCTGCACCTCTCCCTGCGGGTGTGAAAAGCAGCTTTCCAGCCTAGGTGAAAAGCAGCCAAGGCCCCACGAGGCAAACCGGAGAATCGCCTGATTGAGTCTCCAAGGTCTCCAAGAGCCACGCGGCGCATCTTGGCCTAGGGCTGAGTATACAACCCAGCTCACAACCCCCTCGGCTCTCGGGGCCCTGCCTGGCCCCCCTGGCGCTTACCTGCGGGCATCGGAGTGGGGCTCCGCGGGGCGCCCTTCAGTGCCTTCTTCCCAGGCATCTCCGCCAGCGTTCCAAGGAGCTCTGGGCCACACCCAGGATAATTCAATTTGTCTCCAATTCTCCGGAGTTGAGCCACACACTCAACTTCCAGCTCTGAAAAGGAAACAAAATATCCATATTAATACCGATAAACAAGAGCCCAAGCTGAAACCCGCGAGCCATTAAGTTGAACACCCCAGGAAGACTTTCTCTTAACTTTCGCTGTTTCCCAAGTGTAAAACAGCACCCCCCACCCCTACACCCCCCCCCACACCCCCCCCCCACAGGAGGAGTAACAAAAATGTTACTATTATAGGCACTTACTCTGAAATCTTTAAAAAAAAAAAAAAACCTAGATGAAGTCAATATTATCTTATCTTCAAAAATGGAAACTGAATGTCAAATACAAACAGCCAGCCTGGATGATGTCATCCCAGTTTCTCTCATTTAAAATTGGCCAAGGAACCAAAGTCCAATACTAATAAACTCCTGTGTTGTTTTAAGGTAATTTGGTGTATAAATGGCGTTATTTCCCAAGTCACTTCTGACTCTCTTTTTTAAACTTCTGGTATTTCTCTCACAAGACTCATAAAGCCCAACATAGTAGTGCACTCTTACAATCTCAGGATACAATCATATCCTCCCCCCTATGCAGATACAAAGATAAAGCAACAACAAAGGAACCAAACAAATAAGCTTAATTCTCATCTTTACTATGTTAAGACAATAATTCTTTGCGCTTAATTTCTACGTGAATACCGTTGCAAGTAAAATTAACATGAAATCAATATATTTCTTTATATATTCTTTTTCCATTTCAAAGGGCAACTCGGGGTCTTTTGCAACACCATGACTAGGAGCCAGGCACCAGTAGCTCACATCTATAATCCTTGCTACTCAAGGTGAGACATTGGGGGCCCTTCCTTTGAAAACAGCCTGGTAAGAAAGGTCTGAGAGACTCCATTTCCAAAGCAACTAGTTAAATGTGAGACCGAGGTGTGGCTCAAGTGGTACAACACCAAGCAAGCAAGCCAGACAATTAAATCTAAAACCCAGAATTCAATCCGTGCTACCAAAACCAAAAACCAAAAACAAGATCATGAATACAAATTAAAAACCTAGTCCTTTGTAAGCAAATAAGATCCTACTTATGCTCAAGAATGAATGAGAACCTGTACACATACACAGTAAAACAAACTGAAGCCTGCATTTAAACTCATTTCTCTCACTGCAAGTACTGAGTGAAACCAGAAAACCTAATAAATCAGTCACATAGCATGCCATTTTTCTTTCATGGATCCAGGGTCAAACATGTTGAGAAATATTTAAAGACATATTCTTGAGTGCGACCTTACAATCTCTAACAATGTTCACCAATTCCTGAATTCTAAAGAGGATCTAGATGCGTGTGTGTGTGTGTCCTTTTCATCCGAAACAGGTACAACAGGTGCTCCCTTTTCTTTTCCTCCCTTTTCTTTTCTTCCCTTTCATGCTTGGTGCGAGGCCATCATTCCTCCACACAGCTGCACCTCCTGCTTTGGTTACAGTTGCACACTTACACAAGTCAGAGGATGCCTTTACTGTCCCTTTATTCTTGGGTACTAGGTAATTATGTGCCATAATCTGCGTCCAGAACTGTTAGAAACCTGGGTCTTGCACATCACCCAAGGTGGACGAGCCTTTTGCATCCCTAAACGACGGCTAGCCCGGGGTACCATTTGCAATGCACTATTTCCCCTGCGTGCACAATGCGTCCCCAAACAAGGGAAGAGAGCGGAGCCTATCAAAAAGGCAAAAGAAGCCACGTCCCGCAGGTATTCCCAGCCCAGAACCTTCCACGTTCCCCCGGCCCCAGGGCGGCCCACGGCCTCCTCTGATCTGCAGGAAGGCTGACCCGAACTGACCCGGACTGACCTGAGCTACGCAGAGGCTGCGCCCGCAGTAGAAGCAGAGGAGAGGCGGACAGATGGAAAAAGAATTAAAGGGCAACTTCTATTCTCCCGTCCTGACTCCATCCCTTCAGGCAGACGATTAACCGGCTCCCGAAGCAGGGACCCCGGATCTCAGGAGTCCCGGCGGGGATTCCAGGACGCCTTCATCCTTCCCGGGAAGGAGAGCTACGGCGGCGCCACGTTTAAACCCGGCTTCTGCTCGGGTCGGAGGCGAGGAACCACAGTTACAAGCGATCAGCGATTTCCGAGATGTACTGGGGGGGGGGGGGGGAGGATGGAAACGGGGGTGTTTTCTAGAACCCTCTCCCGCCCCCGCCGGCCAGGACGATGCCAGTCTTGGGGCGCACTGGACTTTTTCCTCCCCGTGGCGCCGGGCAAAAGCAGGTGGAGAAGAGAGCGACGTGGAGAGGAAGCCGCCGGCGGTGGACGGGCTACGGATGCAGCTGCGCCCCCCCACACCCCACCCCCGGCATGGCGAGCCGTCTGGGGCTCCTGGACGCCCCCCATCCTGGGCGCGCATCAAAGGGCCGGCCGTGAACCCCAAACCCAAAGGGCGAGCTGCCCGACCCCCGACCCCCGACCCCCGAACCGACGGGTGGGGTTCCCGCGGGCCGCGGGTGGCTACCTGGCCGCGTGGGCGCCGAGCTCGACGGCGCGCTCGTCCCCGGCATCGCCCAAAGCGCCGCCGCACACCTGGGGGGAGCCCGGTCCCCCCTCCTTTTCCCCTCTCGAGAACGAGCCCTCGGCGCGGGCCGGGCGGGAGCGGAGCGCGGGGCGGACGGGCGGCCTGGCTGCGCCGGCGGGACGCGCGGATCCGCTCCACCGCGGGCTTTAATGCCGGTGCGCGCGCCGGGGAGCCCCGGGGGACTTCCCCGTGACGTCGGGAAACGTGACGCGGCCGGGCCCGCCCCTGTCCCCGCCCCGCGGGCCCCAGAAGCCACGGGACCGTAGCACACCGGGTCCGAAATCCGGGGTGTGGAGCCGGTGGGGAAGCCTGGCGGATTGTGCGGGCCTCGGTGGCCAAGAGGAGGAGCTGGCTTCCCGAGTATCTGTGTGCTGCTGTCGGGACTTGAACTCACAGCCTGGCCTCTTGTGCCCTTCGCTCTTTTCGCTGTACCACTTGGCTCACAGCCCTATTTACGGCCTTTTGGGGTAGGGAATGGGGCGGGGGGGGGGATTTTTTTTTCTAACCTGGCTGGCTTTGAACCTCGCTCCTTAGGTCTCAGCCTCCCGAGTAGCAGGGCTTCTAGGTGTGAGCCTAGATAATGCATTCGGGAAGGTTGGGCTCCTTGCTCGTCATCGTGGTCGTCACCACCGTCGTCATCGTCTGGGAAACTTGGGGCGCTTCTGTGGAGGGAGGGGACGGGGTGTCTGGAAGCATGAACGCTTTTGCAGTTTGGGGGTTGCACTGTCCTGCGACTCTTTAGCAGCGGTTCGAGGGGGGCTTGGAGCTGGGCTTGAATTTTCCAGAACAGCTGGGAGGCGCTGGCACACTGGGTGAACGCCCCGGCCAGCGCAGAGACCGTTTATAGAGAGTCACACGCCAGCGTTCGCCGTGGCCGAGCCGCTCAGCCCTCGCGGATCGCGACGCAGCCCAGGACCGCACACCGGGGCCCCCCGTGGCAATCGGGGCCTGCGCAGCCCAGGACCGCACCCCCCCCCCCCCCCCGGCAATCGGTGCCTGCGCATTACCCGCGGTGTCTGCTGCACAACTCCCCAAGTGCAGCCGTCTGCATCTCCCAGAAATGTTTCCATCGCAGGATTAAAAAGCCCGGATTTCCGCAGCTTTGAGGAAATGAGAAGCCTGGGCCACTTAAGATGCATTTTCCAAAAGAAAAAACAAAATGCAGGGTGTGCGAGCAGCGCCTTCTCCCACCGGTGCCCGGGTTCCCCATCCACTCTGCTGTTTGCTTTTCGCTTTAGCATTCTCTGGCTCCACGAGGCGTTTGAGCTTGTTTGTGTATCTGAATTCATTCAGTCAACACGAGCCAGCAAATATTTATTTATGGCTTGGCCCCATAGAAGGAGTCATCCACACGATAAGCCTAGAACTCGAGTTTAAACAACCTGGTTTGGAGGCAGACGTCGGGAGCCTGGTAGTTACGCGGGGACCAAACGCAAAGCAAACGTAAGGGTTAGTGTTACCACGGGACGCAGGAGGCAGCGTGAAGAACGTGCAGGAAAAAACTGTGACCTCCCGGCCCACACCTCGGCGACCCCCTCGCAGCTTATTTTGACTTCTTTTCCTTCCTTAACTTCTGCTGGTTTCTAGTCGGCTTTTTTAAAGCTATGTTCCTTGAAATATAACAAATACAAACACTGAGAGAGATAGGAAAGCAAATCACAATAGTGTTTGCCTTCCAGGGTGTAGCAATCCTGACTTCTAACAGGATCTTTATAAACAGGTTGTTTATCAACATTGGATACAATTTTTTTCTTGCAATGATGTATCGTTTGATTTGGAGTTTGTTTTTGGTTTGGTTTGGTTTGGGGTTTTTTGAGGGGGAGAGCTTCTTTGCTGAAGGCTAGCGCTCTACCACTTGGGCCGCAGCCCTAATGCTGGGTTTTTGGTGGTTAGTTGGAAATGAGACTCAGTGTCTTTCCTGCCTGGGCTAACCTCACAACCATGAGCCTCAGATCTTAGCCTCCTGAGTAGCTAGGTTTACAGGCGTGAACCACCAGTACCTGGCTTGACATTGGGTTTTAAGAAATACAAGTGTGTGTGTGTGTGTGTGTGTGTGTGTGTGTGTGTGTGCGCGCGCGCGCACGCGCGTGAGCGCACACACACATGCAGGCCCTGGGCTCTGTCCTTGAGCTTATTTTGCTCAAGGCTACCACTCTGCTACTTGAGCCACAGCACCACTTCTGGCTTTTTCTTTCTGGTTATGTGGTTTAGAAGAATTGAACCCAGGGTTTCAGGCATGCTAGGCAAGCACTCTATCACTAAGGCACATTCTCACCCAAGAATGGGACTATTTTGACCACAAGGAGCTAACAAAATAATATTTATCATGAAACTTTATAATCCCCTACAATCTATAAATTGTGTGTGTGTGCACACACACGCGCGTGACTGGTGAGGATAAAAATTTTTGAAACCCACTCATTGATCCATGTTCATGGGCCAAGTTAGAAAATGACTGCAAATCTGGCTCTATCTGTATTGTCCAGGTTACTTTATATTTAAGTGTTTCTATATAGATACGCTCTTAAAAAAAATTGCAACCAACATGATTAATAATAGAAGAGTCAGACATTTCAGGCAGAAAATAGGGTTTGTCAGCTAAACAAGAGGGTATGAGAGCTGACTGGAGGGGCACTTGGGGAAGCCCGTGATGAAATGCACAGGCCATAAACATGTTTTTGCTTTTTTCCAATAAAAAGGACTTGTTTTTTTCCTGCAAAGCCTGTTGTGAACAGGAAGTTCATGTGATTCTTTGATCAGTTCAGCCTCTCTTAGGAGACACAGTACACTGCACTTCAGAGAGACTGCACTCCCTGCTCAGTAGGAACCCCTTAAATTAAATTAATTGAAGTCTGGAGCCAGTGGCTCACACCTGTAATCTTAGCTACTTAGGAGACTGAGGTTGGAAGATCACAGTTCGAAGCCAGCCGTCACAGACAAATCCATGGTACTCGTATCTCCAATCAACCTGCAAAAGCCTAGAAGTGGAGTTGTTCAATGCGGGTGAGAACACAGGGACTTGAACTGAAACCCCAGTCCTGGCACAGAAATAAAGTATCAATATCATCTTTGTTTGTTTGTTTTTGTTGGTCGTGGGGCTTGAACTCTGGGCCTGGGCGCTGTCCCTCAGCTCTTCAGCTCAAGGCGAGCGCTCTACCACTTGAGCTACAGCGCCACTTCCAGTTTTCTGGTGGTTTATTGGAGATAGGAGTCTCACGGTCTCTCCTGCCCGGGCTGGCTTTGAACCACGATCCTCAGATCTCAGCCTCCTGAGTAGCTAGGATTACAGGCGTGAGCCACCAGCGCCTGGCTATCATCTTTTTTTTTTCTTTTCAAATATTTTCTTTTTTTTCTTTATAATTCAAAATTTTTTAACTGTGAAAATACTGTACAGAGGCGTTACAATTAACATGGGCAAGGTAATGAGTACATTTCTTATCAAGCATTGTTGCCTCCTCCTTTGTTTCTCCTTCCCACCCCTTCTTCCCATCTCCCTCCCCTCCGCACCCCCACCGAAGTTGTAGCGTTTGGTTTTTCAACATAACAACTTGTACATCTCATTGTTGCAATGGGTCCACCTGTATCCCTATTTAAACAATTTGTTTTTTCCCTTCCCCTCCACAATCAATATCATCTTTATTGGCACAATGTATAAGCACATTACAAAATTAGAACACAGGACCAAGTGCCAGTGACTCACGCCTGTAATCCTAGCTACTCAGGAGGCTGAAATCTGCGGATCAAAATTCAAAGCCAGCCCAGGCAGGAAAGTCCATGAGACTCTTATCTCCAATAAACCACTAGAAAACCTCAAGTGGCGCTGTGGCTCAAGTGGTAGAGCCCTGGCCTTGAGCTGAAGAGCCTGACAGTGCCAGGCCCAGAGTTCAAGCCTCATGACCAACAACAAAAAAAAAAAAATGTAGAACACAGGAGAAAAAAGTTTTAATTTCCTTCAATACCTCAACCATGTATGAATTTTAAGGCATATATTTTCAACCCTATCTTCAGTGAGTAATTCTAAAAATCATATTTGCATGCAGTGTAAATAAAATTATGCATTGTTTCTCACTTATCCTTGTAACCAATTTACTCTGGGCATCAGTGGTTCACACCTGTGTTCCTAGCTACTAGAGAGGCTGAGCTCTGAGGATGGCAGTAAGCCAGCTCAGACAGAAAAGTCCGTGAGACTCTTACCTCCAATTAACCACCATAAAGCCAGAAATAAGCTGAGCTCTGGTGTCTTACGCCTCTAATCCTAGCTACTCAGGAGACTGGGATCTGAGTATCACTGATCGAAGCCAGCCAGGAAAGTTTATGAGATATATCTCCAATAAACTACAAAAAAAAAAAAAAAAAAAAGCCAGGCTGTGGCTTAAGTGGTACAGTGCTAGCTTTGAGCAAAAAAAAAAAAAAAAACTCAGGCCTGAGTTCAAGCCTGTCTTTATGTCCATTATTTTTCTTACGGTTCTAGAGCTGTTTCAACCTGAAATTCAGCATCATTAGCGAATTCTGTGGATTCTGGCTTGTGGAGGGCAGTAACGAAACTGAGCATCTGTGCTGTGAAGGGCAATTCCAGCCCACTGCTGGACTGTCTGGGGGAAATGGCTAAAGAGCTGGAAAGGACCTGATATTCATAGGATTTGGCCAGCAGCAGGGACAAGGAAAGAAAGATGACCCAAGGCACAATGTAAGGTGGGAATGGTGAGGGGCTGGATGGGGAAAAGCACCAGGAAGTTGGAGGGAGAGGGAGGCGGGGAACCACTGAAAGTTTTAAGCAGGTGGGTGCTATGATCAGATTCTAGAATTCTCTGTGGCTTTAAGAGTGATGAGATTCATTGAGCCAAGAACCTGACACCGTGTGATCTGTGAAGATTCAGTCATCCTTCTGTGGGATGGCAGTGCCGCCAATGCCAGCCAATGTTCCAAGCTGTCTTCCTAAAATTCTCAGTTGCCTGACCAGCCTGGACCGCATTTGATTAGAGCATGTTTTAGCCTGAATGTAATTGCCATCCTTTCCTAACTAGCTTTCTAATACAATACACTG